TAAGATCATGACCTGAGCCATAACCAAGAGCTGGATGCTTAGCCACCCAGGTGCCCCCAAAGTGATATCATTTTAAAATTCTGCTAAATGGAAAGAACCCATGTAAGTTTCTGTGGGTTGTCCTCTGGCCACACACACACACACACACACACACACACACACACACACACGCCCACACTCAGCTTTCTGGTAGACCTGACTGTTCTATGACATTCATGAAGATAGGACTACTTATACCAGGCCATCAATGTTTCTAATTCTCAGTCATTGGTACAATCAACATGACTGAATGGCATCCTTTGTGGTTCTAGAAACTAACTTCTAAATTTAGGCTTATATATAGAGCACACAATGCATACTTTGAAAAAGACTGGGACTGATCCAGCCCTGTCCAGATTTAAAGGCCTGGTAACCTTTCCGTAGAGAACACATACCTCCTCAATGGCTCACTGTTTACGTTTGCCCGGAGCTACACCTGGAGAAATGTTTCAAGTTTCTTTCTATTGTTATCTTTCCTAACCTTTCATTTCCTTATACTCAGGTGTTTTTTTTTCTTTTTTTCCCTCCTAATCCCACTGCTGAGCAGAAGCCTAGATCAAATTAAAGACAGCAGAGCAGGCCAGGAAAAGGTCCTACCAGCAGGACTGGATGGGCACCAGTGCTCTCTCTTGGAACCAGATGAGACTGCATGAACGGCCCAGGGTGACTACCTGGAAATCAAGGTGGGTTTTTTTTGTTTTTTTGAGGAACTCTGCCCTACTAACTTTCCAGCTGGAACTCTGGGGCTTGCCAATTCTACAAGGTCTTTCTGATACTGTTATCTTTCCCTTTACTGATACCATTTGCAGGACTTGCGGTGTAATGATACCTCCAAGCAGTATCTTTACTTCCTGTTTCTCTAATCCTTCCCATCGAAAATTCGCCCCACCCCACCCGGAGACAACAGTTGGTCCTCTGAAGCTTCGGATAACTATCTAGCCCCTCCCACAATCTGCCCCACAAGCTACAAACCCTCAAGTCAGGCACCATCATAGGTGGTGGGGTAGTGATGGGGAAGACACGGACGGTGGTCCTATTTCAAAGACAATCATCCGATTCCTCCGATTTCAAAGACAATCATCTGATTCCGTACCCTTCAGGAACCCAAACACTGAGGGGGTAGGGCAGAGGAGATATGTGCTTAGCGGGAAATGATAATCCAATGCTGGCAGTAGGGGCCTCCAGGAGAGGAGAACCCAGAGCTGAAGTACCACCTGTCTGGGAGGTGAGTGACTGGCGATGGCTTCAAGAGGTGCATCCCAGGTGGAGTAGAAAAGATGAACTGGAGTTAGAGATGGTCAGAGGGATATCTGAGAGAGGACATCACAGAAAACCCCTCTCTTCCCCCAGATTAAGTGAAAATTGCCAAAAGTGTGGAGGGTTAAGCAGTTGCTGAAACATCAAGTCTGAGGCATCAAGTAAAAAAAATGGAAGTAGAGCGATGGGTTAGGGATGCAGAAGGGGGAGGAGTCAGGTCATGGAGGTCACGTCCCAGTAAGAACTTCAACCTGATCTCAAGATAATGAAAAGCCAAGGGAAAGCTCCAAGCAAGGAAACAGTAGGTGTTGTACTAACACACCTGAGAGCTCCGTCCACGCGCCATTGCTGCGTTCTGGGAAGCAAAGATACCTGCAGACTCTGTTCCACCAAACTGTTTGCATCCAGATTATGAAATGCTTCCAAATTAAGAAAAACTTAAGCATTTAAATTAAAAATTAGCTTCCTAAATATCTGCATATGACCTGTGTAAATACGGAACATATCCAGGAGTCCTTTGTTTCTCACTTACACACAACAGGGTGCCTAAAATGAAGATCATTTTTCTTTTTCTGTGTATTTTTGTGGTAAACTTAAAAATAGTATATGTGGGGCGCCTGGATGGCTCAGTGGGTTAAGCCTCTGCCTTTGGCTCAGTTCATGATCCCAGGGTCCTGGGATCGAGCCCCACATTGGGCTCTCTGCTCGACAGGGAGCCTGCTTCCTCCTCTCTCTCTGCCTGCTTCTCTGCCTACTTGTGATCTCTGTCAAATAAATAAAAAATAAAAAATCTTAAAAAAAAAAAACAAAATACTATAGGTAAAAGGCAAGAGAGGCGCCTAGCTGGCTCAGTCGGTAGAGCATGTGACTCTTGATATCAGGGTTATAAGTTTGAGCTCCACCTTGGGTGTAAAGGTTACTAAAAAAAAAAAATCTTGGGGTGCCTGGGTGGCTCAGCCATTGGGCATCTGCCTTTGGCTCAGCTCATGATCTGGCCTAGGTCCTGGGATCGAGCTCCGCCTGGGGCTCCCTGCTGAGCGGGGAGCCTGCTTCTCCCTCTCCCACTCCCCCTGCTTGTGTTTCTGCTCTCCCTAGCTCTCTGTCAAATAAATAAATAAAATCTTTTTTTTTTAAAAAGTAAAGAAAAGGTCTACTCATTGTAAAGACAAAGTCTTCAAGACACTTAACAGTCATTAGGTTCAAAGTCTCAGCATGTTTGCTTCTCCCCTCAACCAGCCTTCAGTAAGAACACTAACCAAAGAACACCTCCCATTTCCACCGGCTCACAGAGGGAAGAGCTAGACCAAAGCCCGTTCCAGATAGGGACAGAGGAAGCTGGCACAGAAGGCTGTGTGGGGTTGGCAATCCGTTCAGCAAGGACAACTTCCCGTGACTCCAGCGAGCACAGTGGCCCTGCTAAGCCTCAGCAAGTTCACTGTGTTCACACACACACACACACACACACACACCCCTAGCACTCCATATTCCTGCTAACCTTATTCCAGCTTAAGGTGGACAGGTAGAACTTACTTCCACTGTTCTTCCCCACTCCCCCCACCCGCTTACCTTACCCCCTTTCTGAGATTCTGCAAGAAATTTGCTTTATTTATTTATTTTTAAAAAGATTTTATTTATTACTCTAGGAGAGCACACCTGAGTGCGTGCGAACAAGCAGGGGGAAAGAGAGGGGCAGAAAGATGCCACACTGAGCTTGGAACCTGACCCAGGGCTCTGAGATCGGGACCTGAGCTGAAATCAAGAGTTGGACACTTAACTGACTGAGCCCTCCGCCCCCCACCCCAGGCACCCAGAGAATTTGCTTTAGATACAGGAAAGGAGAAATGATTATTCCCTCCTTTTCTGGTGCAAGCTCAAACTTCAGGTCATACGGATCCAGGATTAGACCCCGGCTTTGCTTGGACATGATGTGTGAAGAGGAGCATGTTACTTTGATCTCTCTAAGCTTCTTTTTCTTCCTCTGTGCATGAGGATAACAGTGATTCTTTCTTATAATTGAAAGAAATGATGTAGAACACACATCTGGAGCAAACTCCATCAACCAAAACAGTATTAGAGATGCCAGCAACAGCATACTGCCATGTGTTTAAACTTTGTAAACAGCAAGAATAAACACTCACTACACTCTGGTAAAGTGTTGGTTTACTATCGCTCCTACAACTCTTTGTGATCTGACAATTTTGTAGCCCACGGGATAGCAAAGGTCTCTGTCCCCAGTCACCTTGCCTGTCCTCGTTCTGCCCTGAGTAGACTTTTGTGACCAGCACTCCAATGTGGCTCTAAGGAATGCTGGGTCATTAAGAAAAGAGTCACTGCTCTGAATCTACTTTCAACTACGAAGGTAGCTTCAAACCGCTCTCAGATGTGTCCATGATACCAAGACTCCGTGTAGAAGCAGGGAGTTTTTTCACATATATAGCAGGCATTATGGTCTTGTTCACACAGGGCTGACAGCCACAGCCCTGCTGTCACAACAATGGAAACTGGTTTCTTGGGACATCACCAGGAACAGGTGCTACAGGTCACACAGGTGTTCTCAGAAAACAGAATTTTGAGAAGAAACTCGGTCCCGAATAAAAGAGGAAAGCTGGTGCTGTTTTCTGCCTTCAGTGGCCTGGCAGACCTCAGACCCCTTTCCAAGTGATCATAAACAATGGAAAAGACTTCGCAGTCTACGAAATCAAGAGACTGCAAAGTGGAATTTCCAATAATCTGTGACTTCGAAATTGAGAATTAACTTTGGACCAATTCCCACTGTTGATCCCCTCTGTGTTCATTTTACCCATTCTCCTTGACAACAAAACATCAGACGGCTCTTGTTGAACCAAGTCGGATGACACCTGGGTCCTTGGTCAGGTCTTAGGTTAGAGACATTTAACTGAAGAGCTAATTTATCAACTTCCAAAGAAGATTCACAGTTTCCAAAAACAGCCCGAGCGGCTTTGAGCAATGACTTTGAGGATGAATGGGATACTGTGTGACACGGTCTGAAAGGAACATACCTATTTCAAGTCATAAATTCTAGGATTCTTATTAAAAATCGATTTCAACACACTGTAGCTGTGCTTATCAAGGACGATGAAAAGCATCCATTCACGAGACTGAGCTAGTATATGTCAATTATGCCTCAATTTAAAACACACACACACACACACACACACACACACACAAAGACTAAGCTACAGGATACACGATCAAAGACAGCTTTGCCAGAGTTCCTGCAGCTTCTAATGCTTCTTAGATCACTATACTGCACACAGTTACAAGACAACAGAGTTGGCACTAAGCTGGTCACTAAAAACAACCAGACTGAGGCGCCTGGGTGGCTCAGTCATTAAGTGTCTGCCTTCAGCTCAGGTCATGATCCCAGAGTCCTGGGATCCAGCCCCTCATTGGGCTCCCTGCTCAGCGGGGAGCCTGCTTCTCCCTCTCCCACTCCCCTGCTTGTGTTCCCTCTCTCGCTGTCTCTGTCAAATAAATAAATAAAATATTAAAAAAAAAAAAAAGCAACCAGACTAATAGTTTTCTAAGCATTAAAAGTTCTGGTTTTTGTTTTGTGTGTTTTGTTTTGTTTTGTTTTGTTTTTTTTCCAAATAATCTCCAACGAGTCTGTTCTCTAGAAGTGCTGGATATTAGTGAACTCAGTCTATGAATACAAAAAAATTGGAATGGACATCGGCACATACCTGGAATCCTATTAAGTGTCACCCAGAAATGTTCATCGGGGCTGTAAGTATCTTTCGACCAGTGTAGAAGATCAATGGCCCTTTTGTCGTGGAAGACAAAGTTGACAAACTCTCTGGTCAGGGCCACATAGGCAGTGCCAAAGTAGATGGTCAGCTGATGCGGAGGTGAGCTTTTCAAAATATTAGTATTTTTCACAAAAGAGCCGTATTTGCCTATGTGCTCCTGGTGCACAAACTTAGTCCGTCCAATGGCGTGAGCTGGGGGCAACACCCCCGGGGTGATGTTTTTCCCTTTAAAGCCTTTCAGATACCGAACGATCTCCTTGTTGGTCTTCAGGGGGAAGTCTTGCCCACACGTGTTGATGGCGTACTTCCAGGGCACCTCGGACTCCGCGAGGTCTTTGAGGCAGTTCAGGTCAGCCTGGAGCCTGGAGATCCCCCCATAGACAACCGGCTCCATCTTGGAGGCCAGGAAAGCATTTGGGAAGCAGCTCAGCAACTGCTCTACTGACTTCTTGAATTCAACGGTGGCCTTTTCATCCACATGAACGCAGTAGACATTCTGGGGCATGTAAACAGCTCGGAAGAGCCTCTGGAAAGTATCAAAGTCCTTATGGATGACCATGACATAAGCCAATGGGAAAGCAGCTTCCTCTTCCGACAAGGGGCTGGTGATGTAGTGATTCTGGGTCAGGTAGTCCTTGCACGGGACGCTCCCCAAAGGTGAGGGCAAGGTCCTCCCCCACAAAAAAAAAGCCTTATCTTCTAAGGCGTAACCACAGGCATTAAGTCCGAAGTACTTGTGACTAGAGCCATTCAGCGACCCGAACCTCGCCGGCAGGTGTAACTGGCTGTTATAAAGTATCACAAATAGAAGCGCACTGAAGACCGTGAAAGCAAAAAGGCAGTACCTCCAAAAGTTCATTATTTTCACTTCCCTGGGGAAGGACGCGCTCTCCAGGGACTGAGAAATGACCAGTCCCCGAAACCGCGAGTGGGGAAAGGTTGGACCGATCGCTCTTCCCGGTCTTGAATTCCGACAGGCTTCTCCCGAGGGCTGGAGTCCTTCAGTCCTGATGCACTGTCTGCCCCAGCGCGGCGTCCATCCTCCGGCGGCAGCGCCGGCGGGAGGAGATGCTGCCGGAGTGCGCTCGGCTCTTCCGACCCGGAGGTGCTGAATCCCCAGCCGCTCTCAGCGCCGCGCTCAGCTCGGCCCGGCGCTCGCCGCCCAGCCCCGCCTCTGGGAAACCCTCCTCATTTGCATGCGAAATGCAAGTGGCGGATATAGCAAATTGCGTTCCGGAATGGACTTTCCACGGCGGCTGATTTTCCCTCGCTTCGCCCCGCCCACCTTCCAAACCCTGTGCTCCGCTCCGACCTCCCTGCTCTTCGCCGGCTCTCTCCTCGCCTTTTCGGCTCTCTCTTCGCCTTTTCGAGTGAAGAGCTTCTACTTTTTCTGCTTCGCCCCGGCAACCTGCTAGCAGCCCTTGCAAAAGCATAACATTTAGGACTTCTGCCCCCTCGGCTTTATTCGTCTTCCCTCTTTTGCATTTCAGTGTTATTTCTACCTCTGGGCACACAGACACAGGTAAGAAAAAATGCACTTGTACTAGGCGTAAGCGGAAAACTGTCAACGGCGACAAGAGTCTGTGGCCAGGTGGGTGTTCCTGGGTTAAATCAGACAGTCTGATCGTGTTACGTAGCATATACGTGTGTGTAGGCTATGGGAAGAGGGGAAAAAAGAATTACACTCTTGGAGTATGGGATGAGGGCAGAAGGAACCTAGCAGCGACTTGTAACGTTAAAGGGTCAGTGTGGCTGACATAAATGAAATAAACACACCTTTCAGTTTGCACTGCCAAAGGGAAAGGTGATAGTCATTGTCCCCAGAAAGTTGTCCCCTTTCACACAGAGCTTCAGATAACGTGAACTCTTGCCAGTGTGTGGAGTCACTCGCCAGTGGTCTTTCAAAAAGTCTGACATCTTCAGATCTGAGGTCATTTCATACAAATCAAAGAAATCTCCTTCCCACCCAGCCCCCTCTTCTCCCACTTCCTCACTCTGAAGAACGAACAAAGGCTTCGGGGTTGCTGCAAAATTCCTGGAAGTACCAGTCAGTGTAATTCAGGGGAGGCAGGAAGGGAAGCCCAGCAGGTCTGGTCACATTACAGAGGGCTTGTCATAGCTCACCTGTGAGGGTGGCTGGAGCACTTAGCAAATGTGAAGGGTGCTGGAGACATAGGAGGGTGGTAAGGACACTCCTGGGGTAAGCAACTCAAGCAGCTACAAAAGAAAATCAATGGTGGCAGCCACAGGTAGCTAAAAGTGGCCTGGTCCCCTCTCAGCCCGCAGTCACCTAGCCATCCTAACTGTCTGGGCACCAGGTGGCTGTTGGAGCAGGTGCCTCTGTTCCGAAAGGGGGTATAATGCAGCACTCTCCCTGCCCCCTTCCTATCCCACACCCCTCTTACTCCATGAGCACTTGAAAAGGAGTCCGGCCAGGATTCCTCCCCTGCCCCTGTAACCACCGCACCAGCATTCGCGGTTACCTCTCAGGGCCCAGCTGGGGTGGACACAGAGCTCCTAGAATGTTCATGAGAACTACAGGACTGTAAGGGGGGATAAGTTTCCACCATGTTCTCAGAAAGCCCCAGAGAGCCCCGCCTTTCACTTTCACGTAAAAGTGGAGTAAAAGTGGATTACTCTAATCCACGGAGCTAATGAATGACAACAGCTTGGCCTGGAGATGATGGATATCGATTTGGAAACAGACTCAAAGATCATCTAACATGACCCTTTATTTTACAGATGAGGAAATGGGAGCCAAGAAGAATATTTTTTCCCAAGGTCATTCAGCTGGACAGAAGCCAGAAACCTTCACTCTGCAGCTCCCTTGTCCAGATGCTGAAGCCAGTCTATTTGGCTTCTAACCCCTGCTGGTCAGTGACCAGCTGCGAGACCAGGGTAAAGTTACTTAGCCTCTCTTAGCTCCGGGTTCTTCATCTGTGAGATGGAAAAAAAAATCACAGCGGTTCCCGTTTCACGCGGTTGTGAAGAACTATAACCGAGATGACTTCTGTTTAGGGTTTGGGTGGACAATCCGTGTGTTCAATACGCATTACCAGTTACTGTTGTCACTTCTTTTTTGAAAAATAGCCAACATTTCTCACCAGGTGAATGACCTGATATTTTGACTTCTGTTCTTAGTAACGGAAAAGAGGTACATTTATCCTATTAAGGCTTTCCACCGGGTTGATTTTATTCCCACTCTTTTCCTTCCCCATCCCTAGCCCCCTTTGGCCCAGACAAAAAGCAGAACTACTGCTTGAGGAAGGGAAGAATGGAATGGTCCATTTGGATGCCCTCACTTCCCCCTCATTCTAGTTAGAACTACACCCTTTTCTGCAAAATACATCCTTGGCCAGACTTGTGGAGAGCAGGAGGGGAAGTGCCAAAGGGGAGAGAGGGGAGGCACAGGGCTCTCTCTCCTCACAGGTTCTGTGGGTTCTTCCCTCTTTTTGCCCCGAGCCTTGGCCCTACAAGTGGGATCGCTGCTGGAATGCCCACCCAAAACAAACTCAACCAATCTTTAATCAGGATTTAGTCAAAGCAGATTGCAAATGGGGGGGGGGGGAGTGGTGCAAGGTGATTTACAGTTCAAAACACCAGTACCCCCAGAAACCCTTCTGTGGTCTGTCCTGCCTTACTTACAGTTGCTTAGATGAACAACCAGACATGAAAATGGGATGCCTGCTAAGCGCTTAGCCCAGCGGGTAGGTTTGTTTTGCTTGGTATCTGTGGCAACTGAACAGGCATTTTCTTCTAGCAGATCGCTGGGTGGGCTGAGCTAGTAACTTCCAACCAGTACGTTATTTCTGCTCTGTTCATTCTAGCTGGCTTCACATACTGAAAACTGTCATCACGTGGACATTCGGTATCCCAATCCCTGCCTCTCTCGGTCCCGGGATCATCTTTAACATCACCAACAAGGGGACAGCACTGGACAGCCGCTTGCCACACACCATCAACTTAGCTCAATGTGAGAGCAAAAGGTGGGGCTCTCTGGGGCTTTCTTGGAACATGGTGGGAACTTTCCCCCGCTTACAGTCCTGTAGTTCTCATGAACATTCTAGGAGCTCTGTGTCCACTCCAGCTGGGCCCTGAGAGGTAACAGCAAATGCTGGTGCGGTGGTTACAGGGGCAGGGGAGGAATCCGGCCGGACTCCTTTCTAAGTGCTCATAGTTCTCCTTGACCTCAGATCACTCCACCTAGCTTAACTTTTGCTACTGAATCAAGGCGATGCTTTCTGATGGATCCCCTCATCTCTGCCAAGGGTACACCAGTTGCTGTCAGTCTGGCAACCTGAAACACCTGGGCTGCACGGGAGACTCAGAAAATGAACAAGATCTCCCAGCAACCAGAACAACGACCACAAGGCTGTAGACTGGACTCACACACTGGAACGTGTTGAGGATGGCAAATGTAAGAAGGAAGTGAAGCTGGTGGAGGAAGGGAAAGACCGGGCTGGTAAGTTCACGAGTGGCAGTGAACACTAGGCCAAGGGGTCATGGACATAGAGGGAGAGTGGCGACCACAGGGAAGAGCCTGGGTCCCACTTAAAGAAATCAGCTCCCTCTCAGCACCGGCTATTAATGCCATGCTGGTCACAGGGCCAGGATGCCAGCTCCTCAGATATTTTAAGAGAAGTGAGAAAGCTGAGTTTTATATATATATATATATATAAAATCCCAAACCCTTTAAATGTTACCGAGTCACTAACACATTTGTAAGACACAAGTGTATGCATGCTTTTGCACCCCTAGAGACTGCATTTGGCCCTAAGGATGCCAGTGTATCATCTTTGCTTTAAGCATTGAAGGTCATGTACTTTGAAACTCTCTTGAGACTTAGCCTGTGGACTCTTAGTTTCCACGACACAATCGTAACAATCAGACTCAGAACTGAACAGATAAGAGGTCACGGATTAAAAGAGGGATGTAGCCCTGGGGGACTGGGACACCCTGTTGTCAGCAAGAAGTGATGGACAGAGGATGAAGTGGAAGGTTCCAGAAAAACTACGGGAGCAGAGCAGTGCACGATCATTCAACGGAAGGATGGCTGGCATTCATACAGCTCAGTGACCATTTTACTACTGTAGATCAGGACCTCCAGCATTTGTAAATTATCAACTAAGTTCATGTCACTGAAAGGGCTTGACAACCATAAAGATCACTGCAAACATTGGGCCAACCAGACCTTGAAAACAAGCAGAGTGTAACATTTAGGAATAACATAACAGGAATATGAATGTATTTGTCTTATGCATACATGCTTCAGATGCTATTTAAAAAGTCATCTATTGGGGGTGCCTGGGTGGCTCAGTGGGTTAAGCGTCTGCCTTCAGCTCAGGACATGATCACAGGGTTCTGGAATCGAGTCCCATGTCGGGCTCCTTGCTCAGTGGGGGTCTGCTTCTCCCTCTCACTCTGTCTCCCTCTGCTTGAGCTCCCTCTCTCTCTCTCTCAAATAAATAAATAATATCTTTAAAAAATAAAAAGTCACTTGTGAAATGTTTATTCAGAGTCCTTTTCTTTTTTTAAGATTTTATTTATTTACTTGACAGAGATCGCAAGTAGGCAGAGAGGCAAGCAGAGAGAGAGAGGAGGAAGCAGGCTCCCCATGGAGCAGAGAGCCTGATGTGGGGGTGGATCCCAGTCCTGGGATCATGACCTGAGCTGAAGGCAGAGGCTTTAACCCACTGAGCCACCCAGGCGCCCTCAGAATCTTTTTTTAATTAACCATTTCCTGTACAAAGTGGGAGGCTTTTGGTTATTTAATAAAACTCCCATTATGACAAAAATGTTTCTCTGAAAGTATTAGACAATTGTGCTGACCACACTATCCTATATTAGGCATCAGCATTTTTTCTATAAAGCTCCACATAGTAAATATTTTAGGCATGTGGGACTTTCGGTCTCTGATGCAACCACTGAGTGCTGCTTCCCCAGCATGACAACAGCCATAACAATACCAGCCTGTGTATTTTTTTTTTCTTTTAAGATTTTATTTTTAATTATTTGATAGAGAGAGAGATCACAAGTAGGCAGAGAGGCAGGTGGAGAGAGCAGGGGAAGCAGGCTCCCCGCTGAGCAGAGATCCCGATGTGGGGTTCAATCCCAGGATCCTAAGATCATGACCTGAGCCAAAGGCAGAGGTTTTAAGCCACTGAGCCACCCAAATGCCTGGGCCTGTGTCTTACTAAATTTTCATCTATGGACACTGATAACTGAAGTTCATATAATTTCCATGTCACCAAGTCGTCTTCTTTCGATTTTTTTCCCAATCATTTAAAAATGTAAAGTCACTCTTAGTTTGTGAATGGTAGAGAAATGGGCCAGATTTAGCCCAGGGGCTGTAGGTAGTTTGCTGATCTCTCTTCTAGATTGCAGTTGGGATCCTCCAAGGCCCACATTTTGCATTACTGGAGTCTTTGCAATCACCTAGAATTTCTGTATCTTTGCAGATAAAGCAACGTGAAATGAGGGCAAACAGTGATGTTGGTCATCCTTTTACTTGCATGAAACTGATTACAGACACCATCTGGGTTAGAGCGCGGGGCACTGGATTACATGCCTCAGTATCCCTCTTTCTTCTAGAAAATGGAGATGCTAAGAAAAGACTGACCCCATAGGGTTCTAGACAGACTTATCTATTTATCTA